GGGATAGCCAGATCTTAAGGGCTGTGCGGAAGGTCTGGAGGGTGGTGAGGGTACGGATCTCCACTGTGATGCAGTCTCTAGGCTGTGATCTTTCTATTGGAATATATTCCATTGTATGGTAAAGAAGAACTAACGGTGAAATGTTTGTGAGTAGGAAATGAAGAGGCGACATATACCCAAGCCATTTTCAATGGAAAAGCTGCTGTATCAAATTGCGACAGCTGAAGCCAAGAAAGAAAATGGTTCTGCTCTGAGTACAATATCAGCCCTTCTGAGAGAGCTCAGGTAACCTTTGTTTCATATCCGCTTTTCCCTTGAAAGAAACTCTAACGCCAATTACAGTGGATGCTGTAAGACAGCCAGGACCAATGAGCCCAACCACAGATGGAGAAGACCTTCTACACTTGGTGCGCCGTCATTGAAGACAAAAACGAAGGATTCAAGCATTCTGCCAAGCATTCACATTTTTTTTTCCAATGAAGGAACTCAGTATTCAGACCCAGAGCTCAAAACGTTCTGCTCCGAACATTCATATAGGTTGTTTTGTAATTATGGATAAGCAAGGAAAGCCTCTCTTTCAATCTGACTGTGGCATGAGCAGATTTCCACAGCTTCTCCCTTTTCAAGGCTGAAAGACTATTGAATATTTTTCTGTCTCCTCTCTAGGACATTTTTGAAAGGAAGGGAAAGCTGTTGTCTTTCTAATATAATGCTGTGTTCTCTTTGTTCTTTATCATGTAGCATCGTTATCCACAATTCAAGTGTGATCGATAGCACATCGCATAGATCAAGGATCGGTAGAAAATCTGATGAGTGGAATCTACAAATTGTATTTAATGAACTAATTTGTTAATTTGATAGTCTGACTCAAGTCTTCTTCCCTGCGTATTGGCACTCAGGGCAGAAGACTTGAGAGGTTCATTGAGGATCTCCACGTGGAGTTTCTCCTTCTCAGAAATGTTACATCCATGTTACCTCTACATATGCATTTTCTTAAAAGGGCATTTTGTAAATGTGGTGAGGGCTGGCATTTGTTTTCCTATTTGGCCATGTCAATGGTCCTGAGAAGAGCCGAGGTGGCGCAGTGGTTAAATGCAGCACTGCAGGCTACTTCAGCTGACTGCAGTTCAGCAGTTCGGCTGTTCAAATCTCACCGGCT